AGCAAAGAGGATGAGACTGGCACCACCCTAAGGAATTTGTAGTGTTTAGTTGCAGACTTTGAGAGTTAGACTGGCGAGATTCTGTCTAGCAGGTGTAAGCTAATAAAGTAACTGAGCAATTCCAGAACCGTCCTGTGGAGTTTCTTGGGCTGAACCTGACACCTTCCCTGTGATTCAATATCTCACCTCCAGAAGCAGTGAGAATGAAGGTTCTACAGCAGAGGAAAAAAGAAGGGCGCCAACAGGCTCCCTAACAAATTGGGCAATGGGAGAGCCTGAAAAGAACAGAAGAGGAAACGAGCCCTTCAGAGGTGCTCAGTGAAGCAAACATGAACATGGGCAAGGCAGTGGTCTGCAATTGTGGCCTGCAATGCTGGTCTTCCTGCCTGAAAACAATGTGATATGTATTTGTTTGCAACAGCAAGCTTGCAAGAGTCCTTGAAGAACTGCAGCAGCAAGTGGCCATACTTCGGTTGGTGAAAAAGGATGTCTCAGTTGAAAGACAGGAGGCTCTACAACAACAACTTCCTCCACAAAGAAGATGAACCAGGAGCAAGCTCAGTGGATAAGGGCAACAACCAGAAGCCAGGGGGCTAGAAGCTGTGCTGCACTGCTGGAACTCAGAAACCATTCTCAGACTCTCAGAGACAAAGCAGGGCAACAGAAAGAGAGAATGATCCTCAAAGTGTGCAAAGGATGTGGCCATGTCCTGTAAGAAGACAAAGAAGAGTCCTGCTAGTTGGTGATTCACTGTTACAAAAGGCACTGAAGCAAAAGCATGTTGACTGGACATGTTAGCTCAGGAGGTACACTGTCTGTCTGGAGTATGACAGAACAACTTCCAAGATCCTTCAAGTCCACAGAGAAGGCAAGTATCCCTTCCTGCTTAGACACGTGGAAGAAATGATACTGAGGTGCAGCTACAACCATGCCACCACAGACGTACAGGCCTTGGAAGGAAGCTTGAGGCTGTGGGGCTCAAGGTGTGCTCTCATCCACTCTTCCAGTCCATAGAAGAGGACTGAAAAGGCAAGTAGATTAAATGGCTACACAGATGGTGTTGATGGGAGTGACTGGGTTTCTGGGGCCAGGGCCTGAAATATCTACACGAAGGACTGCTGGCACAAGACGGACCACATCGAACAAGGATCAGTTAAAAGTGTTTGGCTAACATGGTAAAATTGGTTCGGGAGACTTTAAGTAGCAATTGGAGATGAAAACTCTGAAATAAGGATGTCACATAAGAATGTATGCATTATAGAAAGCACGGATGTTGCTGAAATGGGGCCTCTTAAACCACTCAAAGAAAAATTAGAGCTGGATGACTGGAAAAGGGCAGGTGTTACCCCCCATCTTGAAGAAAAAGGGCAAAAAAGGAAGTCCTGATAAATTATAGACCATTCAGTCTGACATCAATACTTCAGAAGAGCACTTTGAAAATGAAGTGGTAATTACCAGATATCAGCACGGGCTTCTTGCCAGATTAATCTTAACTCATTTTTTGATTGGGTAATTTCCTTAATACACTGCAGAATGCTATAAATATATAATATTTTGTTTTCAGTGAAGTACTGGATTGTCCATTGCGGCATGCCAATTAGGGCTCTAAGCAGCAAGAGCTGGGCGGCATGACAAGGAACCGGAAATATTTCTGGCTCAAAAACCATCCTGAAAGAGCAGTGACAAACTATTCCTCATCAAATGGCAGACAGACAATAGGCGGGATGCCCCAAAGATCGTTTCTGAGCCCTCTGTTTTTCAGTCTTTTTATGGAATGAATAAAATATTGCATTAATCAATGGACAGAACTCTTATCAAATCTGCAGAGGACACAAAAGTGGATGGAATAGCTAATACCCTAAAAGACAGAAATATACTGTAATAAGATTCAAAGGGGGACGTGGTGGCGCAGCGGCTTAATGACGCTGAAAGTTACCAGCCAGAAATGGCTGACGCCTCAGCGGGTCGGGTCCAGCCCTCGCGTTTAACAGGGTGGGGTCCTGGTTCCTCCCCCCGTCCTGT